GATAATATGGGTGAATGTACTAACCACACTGTTTTTCATGTGCAACCTTCATAAGTGTGTATATCAATAATACCTTAATTAAAAAGAAAAAAAAAACCTGAATAGCCAAAGCCATCCTGTGAAACAAGGAAAATCCTGGGGTATTATGCTCCCTGACCTCAAGCTATGCTACAAAGCTACACTAATCAAGTCAGTATGGTACTGGCACAAGAACAGACCCATTGATCAATGGAACAGAATAGAGAGCCCAGATATAAACCCATGCACTTATGGTCAATTAATATATGATAAAGGAGCCATGAATACACAATGGGGAAAAGATAGCTTCTTCAGTAACTTGTGCTGGGAAAACTGTATAGATATATGCAAGAGAATGAAACTGGATCACTGTCTAACTCCATATATAAAAGTAAACTTGAAATGGATCAAAGACATTCCTGAATGTAAGACATGAAACCATAAAATTCTTAGAAAACATATAGGCAGAAATCACTTGACAGAAGTTTGAGTCACTTTTTCCTTGACACATCTCCTCGGGCAAGGTAAGCAAAATAAAAAATGAACAAGTGGAACTACATCAAACTAAAATGACACCATCAGCAGAACAAAAAAGGATACCTATAGTATGAGAGTATATATTCAAAAATGATTCATCTGATAAAGGGTTAACATCTAAAATATATAAAGAACTCATATGCCTCAACACCAAAAAACACAAATAACCCAATGAAAAAATGGGCAGAGGACCTGAACAGACATGGCACATGAAGAGATGGCACATGAAGAGATGCTCCACATCACTAATCAACAGGAAAATACAAATCAAAACCACAATGCAATTATTACCTCACACCAGTTCGAATGACCACTATTCAAAAGACTAGAAATAACAGGCGAGGATGTGGAGAAATGGGAACCCTCCTACTCTGTTGGTGGGAATATAAATTGTTACAGCTGCTGTGGAAAGCAGTATGGAGGTTCCTCATAACACTAAAAATAGAAATACCATTCAACCCAGTAATTTCATTTCTAGGAATTTACCCGAAGAAAACAAAATCTCTGATTGAGAAGATAAATGTACACCTCTGTTTATTGCCTCATTATTTACAACAGCCAAAATATGGAAGCAACCTAAGTGTCCATCAACAGATGAATGGATAAAGAAGATGTGGTACATATACACAGTGGAGTATTATTTGGCCATTCAAAGAAAAGAAATCCTGCCACTTACAACATGGATGGATCCAAAGGGTATTATGCTCAGTAAAACAAGACAGGTGGTGAAAGACAAATATCCTACAATTTCACCTCATGTGTAGAATATAAAAACAAAGCAAAAAGAATGTATTCACAGACACTGAATACATATCACTGCATGACATGGAATTAATTGTCAGTCTCATTTTCCCTAACTACAGGACAGGAAAGACAACATGGGAAACATTCAGAAAGGAGCACAAAGCCTCCAGTGGAATATTCAGTCATAAGTAGAGACTAGTGATTATCATGGGGGGCGTGGAATTGGGAGGAGTGGGTGGGGAAGATGAAGTGGATAATCATAATATAAGTTCGCCATGGGGATAATAATACAGCATGAAGAATACAGTCAATGATTCTGCAACATCTTTCTGTGTTAACAGTAACTGGACTAGTAGGGCTAAGGATTTAATATGGGTAACTGTTGAACCACTGCGTTGTATATTGGAAATCAATATAAGATTGTGTATGAATGATACTTCAACAAAAAATAGCATTGAGCAGAATTAAGAATAAAGCAGAAAACACATACATCTGGGCTTGATGCTAGAGTAAATCTGTATGAGGTAGATTGAATGGAGACATAGCTAAGTTATTTGGAGATATACTTACCCATCTAAAATTAGACTTTCATAAGCAGCTTTTTTGTCACACACAGGACAAATCCAAGTGGGTTTCTTCTCATTCATTTGAAGATAAAGAGCAGCATCGAAACACTGTAGATGTGTACAAGTCACTGCACGACATGGAATTGTCAGCCTCATTTTCCCTAACTACAGGACAGGAAAGACAACACAGGAAACTTTCAGAAAGAACAAAGCCTCCAATGGAATAGTCAGTCATAAAATTCTGTGGAAGTCATATAAGAAGATCAAAATGAGAAAGTAATTCAAATCACAATTTATTTCCATCAAAACAGCTATATATTTTATTTGTATTCACTGAATGTCCTATGATTTTTAAAAGACCTCAGTTTTTGAGATGAAAATATGTCTTTTTCTCACCTGTTTACCTAGGTAGAGGGAACCACTGTTATACATGTTTTGCACCTCCTTTCATACATGTTTTATGTATAATCAAAATGTATTTTTATTTTCCCACAAATGGGGAAATGTGACCTTCTGTCACATAACTTGGTGACTGCTTCACATGTTCAGTATAAACTACCATGAAATGAAGGATCATTATTTAACCAGCACACTCCCTAGTGATAAATATTAAAATTGTGTATAATCTTTCATTCCACAAATAATGCTGCAGTATCTCTAGGATAAATTCTTAAAAGTACAATTTTTTGAGTCAAAGGGAAAGTACATTTGTGATTTTTGTCATAAAGACAAACCATCTTCCACAGAGGTTACCTACTCATTTATGCACATATATGTATTAATGTGTCTGGTTCCCCTCAACTTTGGCAGTATAACATTATTGAATTCTTTGATCTCTGCCAATCTAATAGGTGAAAAATACCCCAGTATAGCTCTGAACTACATTTCTCTTATTATAAGCTAAGTTGAGCCTCTAATTTTTACTTGTAAGAGTCATTGTGTTTCTAAGAATGGTCTATTCATAAACTTTTCTCATTTTCTATTTGGTTATTAATCCTCAGTTATCTACTTATAGGAGCTCTATATTAAAAAGACCTGTATTTGTGATATTAATTGTAATATATTTTTCATTTATGAAAATTGTTTACTTTTGTATAATCACATATGCCAATGTTTCAATATACTTTTATGTAGCTATAAAGCTCTGCTATCTTATTCCAATTGGTAGAGGTATATACCTCACCTTATTACATCCAGATGAGATTTAATTAAGCCTTTCTGCAAAGCCTTTCAAACCTCCCTGTATATTCCCTTCACAGAAAGTACCTGTTTATAACCAGCTCTGTGTTACCCTGACAGATTATGTTACTCCCACTAGACTCTCAGCCCCACAAGAACAAGGTCTACGTTACTATCACCACTGTAATCCAACTGTCAAAGCACAGTACCCAGCACAGCATATGATCAGTAATTGCCAACCAGATGATAGAATGAAGGAGAAAAACTGGAAAAGTGGCAAAGAGAAAGAAAGGGAAGAAGGAAGGACGTTTTATAGGACTATAAAGCCTGAAAGAACTCACAGCAAAACTGTTAACATTGTCAACTCTGCCTGAAAGATAGGATTTTTAGGATGTTCCTTTTTGCCCCTCCTTTTGGTTTATCTAATTTCTTTCTTCTAGCAGGAACATTAGATTATTTTGAAATTTAAAAAGAAAGATCTGAGCCAACTCATCATCATAGCAGTAATTAATGCTTACATAGTTCTATTTACATGCAAAGTACAATGCTCAATACTTCACATTAATCTTAGTGACACTTCACTTTTAAACTAACAAGTACACTATCCAGTAGATATGTATTACCACTCCCATTTTATAAATGAGGAAACTGAGGCATAGGGAAGCTGAGTAACTTGAGTGACATTACAAAGAAAGTGGCAGAGACAATATCTGAACCAAGAAGCTCTGCAGAGCCCCAGAGTCCATACTCATCACTGTGCCATACTGCCTCTACCTAAGTGTCTAACAAGGATTCTATAACAGACCTCAGAAATTACAGTGATTTCTGCAAGGATGTAGCACAATATAAGTCATTAGTTAAGACAGAAAAAAGGTGAGAACAGAGGTTGGGCAATTTCTCTTAGAATACTTGCTTCTACATTTTCCCTTCCTTTATTAACAAATTATCCCATAAGTAATATAAAATCTTACAGTGTGCTACAATGTTGCACATGTGAAACCTTCATAAGACTACATATAAATTATGATTTTAAAAAAATCTTAGTGTGCTAAAGACTTTTATATAAATTTCATGTAATTCTCCTAACAATCCAATGACCCCAGAAGAACTAGTATCTTAGTTTCTACTTTTGAAATGAAGATGCTGAGGCTACAAGAGGCAAAAAACAACACACTGAGTTACAGCAGGTGGAGCTATAACACAAATCTAAATGTTTTACCCTTTCAGGGGAATGTTCCTAGTTAACATTACACATGGTGCTAGTTCTTGGTTTGATTATCTATCTTTTCCTATTTTGCCAAGAGTTTTTGTTCTATTAGGAATGGATATTGACAAATACCTATTCAGCACTTAATGAGATGATCACAGGGTTTTTTTTCCCCCCTTTCAATTATTAATATAAGTAATTGTAACAGATTTTCTAAAATCAAACTAAACTTTATCACATATTGTTCTTTTAAAATATTACTGGATTCTACTGGCTGCTGTTTTATTGGGGAATTTTCCATCGTTTTATACAATTAGTATTGGAAACAAACCATATCACTAAAAAAGGCTGAATAAATAAATTACACCATACCCATTCAATAAAATGTCTGTAATTAAAATAAGCTAGATCTATACATATTAGTAATTTAAGATACAGTTAATTTAACAGTAAATTACAGAACAGTACATATAGTACACAAAGCAATTTTTCCACTAAACATACACGATTTATGAACATAAAGTTAAATCTAAAATGATACGTATGTCATACTATTAGTATTACTTCTTAGTAACAGACCTTAGATAGTTGAAATTTTCATTTGTTCCAGTTGAACAATTTTATAAAATAGGTATTATTTGTATCTTTAAAAAAATGCTCTCAGCCTACCACAGTTTTTCTTCAGGTCCAGTTCTCAATTTTTGGTATCAGAATCCCTTTACACCCTTAAAAATTGAGAACTTTAAAGACCTTTTATGTATGTAGGTTATATTTATCAGTATTTATTGAATTAAAAATTAAAACAGACATTTTAAGAAGCACATAATAGGAACTCAACAAATTATCCCCTTCTCTCTGACATAATTTTTCCTCCATTAAAAAAATGTCCAGTTATCACAATGGTGGTTGGTCACCAAATGCCTCCCAAACTATGTTATAAATTCCTGATTTCATGACTTTTCTCACAAAGTTCCTCTCATCTAGAAAGGGTCCCCCTCCAACAGTGCTGATTTTAAAGACTTCACCCACTATTCCTGACCTCTCCCATCTCTTCTTCTGTACTCCAGGGGCACAATTACAAGGGGTAAGCAGTCTCTTGCTTTTTCATGTGGGTTCCTTTTATCTCTCAAACTAGACTATTAACTATCTGAAACCTTTAATCAAATGTTAAGTACTTTCTCCCACAATTAGCTCAGTACCAAGCACAAAGGAGGATCTCAGAGTAGCTGAATGATTTCTCCCCCAAGTCTCTATGTAAAGAGATACAAAATAAAAATTATTGTGCAATTTAGAAGTACATTACAAACACATTAAGACATCTCTCACATTCTAACTCATTAGACCAGAACCATCAATTAGCATTTATTAGATCCTAGTAATTTCATTGCTATTTTTCAATACTGTTTCTATTCTGATAAAAGGAACCATCTCTCTGTATATGTTTATTAGCTGTGGATCATCTATAGCATTAGCTGTGATGGATTATTCCAAACCTAAAGCTCTCTTTCATACACTATCCTTTTAGGCCTCTTCCTGTTCAGGCATTGCCTGAAGATTGTTTGCATTCTTTAGAATTACAATGCTTTACCATGAAGATTCCTGAATGGGAAAGCGACAAAAAGTTCAGAATTCTATCATAATATATCATTTACCCCCATACTTGCTTTTATAGGAAAATTAGTAATTTGTAAAAAGTAAGACATCCCAGAAATGTTTTGTTGCTTTACTTACGGGGCACATCAACGATACCCGAAGGCTAGTTGTAGCAATTTCACTATCAGGATCTGCAGTAAGTTTTTCTTTAACTTTGAAAAAATTGAAAAAGTAACAGTAATAAAATTTTTTTAATTAATTGTGACACAGCTACAGAATTATAGAAATAAATCATCTTATTTAACATTTCCCAAACACTTTGAATAGGTCAAGAAATTACAAAAACAAAAACCAAAATGTTAAGCATTAATGTACTAAAAACACAATCATACTGCCATTACTAGGTAAAATTACAAACTTGCAAACTCTAGGCCACATATTTGGTTCTTTAAAAATAAATAGTTTCAAAACACTCCTGGTTTAAGACTTAAGAACAATACAGCACTTAAGAAAGGAACTTGGAAAGCAGCAGTACTCTGGGCTTCTGTGCTTTTCTAACATTCATTCATGACTATTTTTATTATGGAGTACTGGTTGTTTCCAACAACCAGTTAAATTCATAAGCAGAAAAAGGGAAAACATTCATATACTTTTGGTCTTATACTTCCTTTGACAACTGAAAATTACTATGAATGTGGTGTCTGAGATTTTTATTCACCAGGTAATGTATTTAAAGTTACTATATATATACAAGCTAGTAAATATATACATTGCCTTCAGGTGCCTAATTCTCAACACTGTAGGGAGAATGGGACTGGAATTGGGGTCAGTGGAATTGGAGTGGGGCAAGAAAAATTAGGGAAGAACTTCCTGGCCTTCAGCTCTAGGCAGGAAGATCATTACTGTGTTGTTTGAGCAGATGAAAAACAGTTTGAGTATAAGAAACAAAATCCCATTTCAACAGCCCTATTATAGGCTCCCTTTTCAAACTATTGATCCTTTTCTCCTTTCTGGTTCATTCAGTGGTATGGGAGTCAATTGGGGAAAAATACTGTCTGTTCCAGAAAAATGTCTTGCTCAATTAAATTCAGTTAGTGAACTTAACTATTTACAGTTTGTGTTAGACTTTTTTCAATACCTATTATTGTGATTATAAAAGCAAAATACAAAATAAGACATCTCAGAAGACAAACATTATTATAGATGGGTATCAACATTTCCTCTTCAGAAAGAGCTTGTTAGAATTTTTTAAAAATATACACTAGAGTTGTTGAAGATTTGCATTTGTATTTTCAATTCAAAACTCCTATCAACCTGACATTTAGCTAAATAGTTTCATGAAAAGGCCAAAATTCACATTAGTTGGAATTTAAAATTGATCCTCATAGGAGTGGCTTCTAAGAGAAGGGTTTTTCAATTATAGGGCTCTGTTCTTAAGAGTATTTTTAACTCAAAATTCATTTTTTGTTTCTAGTAATTATTCCCAAATTGCTTATTTTTCCATTAAAGCATTTCAAATGCTTAGTCTTACAAACATTACTTACTTAGTGCTCTGGAATGATCAGGGTTTCTAATACCTTTCATTTTTAATCTCTGTAATAACATGGCTGATGTGAGCTGTCGTACAAGATATACAGACATGGAGTAATTCTACAAAGAAAGATAATCTGTATTAAAAATGAGAAATAACAGTCTCTTTATTTACACAAAATACTTACTTAAGCAACTCTGATTTCTAAAGCTGGCATTCAAAATAACTTCTACAGGAAGGTCAATAACCAGGAGAGGAATAAAATCAACTCAGCTACTTTAGGGAAGATAAAAGTTCCATCATTTTAAGGTTATTTCTCAACTATTTATCACTTTAAAACATCCATGTGAAAGATAACATAGCTTAAATCAATTCACTGTGTATTTTTCTAATTTAGCAAAACTGGTACCCTAGGGGCCATAATGGTATGAATGAGAATGTACCCTCCCATGCCCACTTCTAAGTAGAACTGTTTTGTTTTTATGTAATGGGGATATCACAGTATTTTCAGTGAAAAATGGGTTCGACTGCAGCAACAAAGTTAAACACCAGTGGTCTTAATTAACATTTCAAATCCAGAGTTCTAAAGTTCTAATTCTGGAGAAAGAGATCACTTATCACAAGGCCTTGAGCAAATCATTCGAATAAACTGAAAACCAGCTTTCTTTTGAGAAAAGCTGACAAGTTAACTCCCATTCTGGAATGGGATTTTACTGGCAAAGGGGCAGCTACTATAGTATATAGACACATGAAAAAATGATAAAAATAAAAAGGACAAGGTTAGTAAATAATAGCATCCAATCCCACACCTCTTATATCTGGCACAAAGGAATCTTTGTTAGTTATAGAGCTATGAAGAGATGAAATATAATTTTATCTAAATACTAAAAATCTCTTACCATTTCACTTCATAATTTGTTCAATTAATTCATTTCAAAAAGATACACTCTCTTGTTCAAATTCCTCTCACTAAGCTTTAAAGCATTAATACTTGCTCATTAACAATGTCCCTTGCATTTGTATACAAACTCATTCTCAAGATTTTACTTATTCTTTATAATAACTGGCCTCAAGGAATTCAGCAAGATCAAACAATGGCCAACTTGGGACTAACCCAAGATTTTCTGAATCTTTACCCAGTGCTTTACCACTGTACATAGGAATCAGCTCCCAATGATAATACCAGAAAGTTACAGTAAAAATTCAGAAATCAGAGTCCAAGAGAACAATCATTAATGAGATACTAATATTTTTATAGTCCAAAGATTAATACAAAAATATTCCTCACGTTCAGCTCTGCAATTACCTTGGTGATAAAACCAAAAAATTCCTGCTACAAACATATGACTCAACTTCTCCACGCATAAAATAGGAATATTATCCTGTTTCTGTAAAATAGCAACATTAAAGTTGATGTTCTGAAAGTAACTCAAATCTCTTTTGCCATTCTATTATTTCAGTTATATAAAATAGTAGTTCTAAAACAGAAAACCCTTTATTAATCAGTATCTCATAATTGATGTAACACATTTTGATACTAAGAATTAGCAGAGAGCCAGGTTTATTCACCTAAAGGTATAGAGTAAATAATATAATTCTAAACATTTTCTTATGAGCTGCTCATCTTATCTGAAGTATCAGCTGTTTATGTAAATCTAGAACAGGAGTACATGGAACCATTTTCGCCAAAGCCTAATGAAGCTTTGTTCTTCTTCATAAATACTTAACATTACCCAATGTTTCCAGTTTCTTAAAATACTACTTAGACACACACATAAACACAATTGTGCTTAAACCATTGCCCTAAGAACTATTGTAATTAAACTTATTTCCTTTCCAGGAAAATGAAGAGATGATACTCAGGAAACCTTAAGTTTTTAACCTTGAGAATCTCTACACCTCCATCCCTGAATAGAAAATGACTGCTTTTCAGAGATTACAATCAGGAAATTGAACAAGCTAGCAGGAGTAGCCTAAGAAAACAAAATAAATCAACTCCTAAGAGAGATCACTTTCATGCTACCCCAGAGAAGAGAATCTTTAATCTTTACCTTTCCAATTTCTGATGCCCACGAAATGGAAATCTGGTTTGGCACAGCCGAAGATAACCTAACTAAAGATGTAATATTCAAAGGGCGTCCAGGGCGCTTCTGTTCAATTCCATTTTTAGGTGGTGGTGCATAGCCCTATAACCATGAGAAAGAAAAGTAACTTTAATTCTCTGTAGGGGATCAAACATTTCCTCGAAGAGAAATAGAGGATTTTGCCTAGAAATTATATAGTTTTCACCCTTAGGTCATCAATCCAAAAGAGGAAAATAATCTTTTGAACATGTTATAAAATACTTCACAAGTTCAGAAAAGTACCTCCCCCCCAAAAAAAGATCTCCCATAAACCCATGTTCCAGCATTAAAATTAAGGATGCTGACATCTTGCCATATTGCCATTTTCCTTTTTTATAAATGACAATTTTGTACGTCTTTGTATTGACTCACCTTAGGAGCTCCCATTCAAAAGGAATTTAAATACTGGGGGTGGGAAAGAGGGAAAACAAACTTTGGGAATTAAAAAAAAAAAGGAAAAATTAATGAATTTCAAAGGAATTTTTAAAATCTTGTGATAAAAATGCTCTCCACTACCTTCTCTCCGAATAGAACAGTTTGTCATTGTTAAAACCAGGTCACATTAATAAATAAGAATGATCAGTATTTCAACTGGCATTAAATTGGCTTGATGACTATAATAATACTGCTATTTATGCTTTATTCTACTTTTCTAGTCATTATTTGTTTTAAATAGCAGATTACTCATTTTTGGCTCACAATATATCCAATTCTTAATTACCATGTGACTTTTCAGTTTCTGATTTTAAAAACCAAAATAACGTATTTTTTGAAAATTAAAATTTATTAGCTGCAAAAACATCTAAATAATGAAAAGCAGATACCATATTTCACTGAATCCAATATGCCGTTTATGTAATTTAACTATGAAACACTAAGAAAAAAAACTAGTATCACATTATTTACTTCTGCATACATAGCAAAGAAATATAAGCAAAATGAATTGGCTAATATATTCCTTTTAGACATACAGAAGAATCTTCTCAATCCCATTTCACTCAGTCATCAGGGCGTATGTTTTCCACATGGTACCCTCCTACATGCCACTATGAACTCCACAGATAAAAGAATTTCTTAAAATTCTATTAAACTCTACTAATGTCTCCCAAATTTCTTTTGCAAGTCACTGACACTTTTAAGTTAAGTGCATGTATTAATGCTGACACACTCTGGATCTTGAGAAAATTGTATCAAAGGTTTTCTGACAACAGCTAGGATTCATGAACTGTTCTCCAAATGTTCTTAAACTATTTGTTGGTTGAAAACAGAGGGAATGCAGCTAACCAGTCATGACAGAAAGAACATCAAGGCTGTACAAGCACAGGCAATGACAGTGTATTATAGCTGCTGCTAGTCATCAACAATTACAAAGCAACTCTGAATTTTAAGGATGTTAAAAATATGTACCTAAGAAACAAGGAAATATGTATTATATACACAGCAGAGCTAATTAAGGAACACATTTTTATCACTAGAGAATATCCTTCACTGCCTTGAAGGAGGTTGAATAGAATTAGTATGTGGTAATTCACATGATTTGTAATCTACAACTTTAACAAGACTTTGAAAATCATTAAAAACAGTTTGAGCAGGGGAGTAGAAGAGAAGAACTTAACTTTTGTTATGCTATGGAAAAAAAATATTGCGTGTGTTGTGTGTGTGTGTGTTTATGGGTTATGCCCATTAGTGGTTCAAGTGAAATGAAACTAAAAAACTCATTAAAAGTCTTCTTATAAAAGCTCTAGAAATTGGTTCAAGAGCAACAAACACATGAGCATCAACTCCAGTATCTGGGTAGTTTTGAAAGAAATCTTTGTTTGGCACGTTTTTGGCCTGAAAGATTCATCTTCTGCTATGTCATCTGGTAGGTTAACCAAATAAAAACAATGGCACAAGGTCTGCCAAGATGATAAAAATAACTCATGAACTAGCCAACAGTGAACTCTGCAAACTGAAATTTGAGAAAACAAGCAACAATGTTTTACATTAGTTTCACAGAGGAAGAGAGCAATAGAAAGAGGGAGAATAACAGTGAATGTAAGAATGAAGGGTTAGCAAATTCAAAATCGAGTATGTTACTACTCTTAATCACCTAAAGTATTTTAAATCTACTCTCTACTCCACTTGACTAATTTGATTTCATTGGTAATTCTGAGTTATCTGTTAACTTGTATTCTCCCTCCAACCATCAGCATCACCTCCACACAAACATCAATTTCCTGAATGAGAGCAGAATATAGTTGGAATTTTATAAAATATAAATGTTTGGCTTTCACATATTTCTAATAATTTTTCATATCTAAAGCAAAAAAAAGTTCATTTGACAGGGGAACTCTGGAGTAAATCTAAAAGTTTTCTAAATAAAGGTTGCCAGAAAGCCAGTAAAAGATTACATCAGTCTCAACCTAATATTTCAATAAAAGATATACTCAAAAACCTGTTACAGGGGGAAAAAGAGGAAAATAATCTTTTGAACATGTTATAAAATACTTCACAAGTTCAGAAAAGTACCTCCCCCCCAAAAAAAGATCTCCCATAAACCCATGTTCCAACATTAAAATTAAGGATGCTGACATCTTGCCATATTGCCATTTTCCTTTTTTATAAATGACAATTTTGTACGTCTTTGTATTGACTCACCTTAGGAGCTCCCATTCAAAAGGAATTTAAATACTGGGGGTGGGAAAGAGGGAAAACAAACTTTGGGAATTAAAAAAAAAAAGGAAAAATTAATGAATTTCAAAGGAATTTTTAAAATCTTGTGATAAAAATGCTCTCCACTACCTTCTCTCCGAATAGAACAGTTTGTCATTGTTAAAACCAGGTCACATTAATAAATAAGAATGATCAGTATTTCAACTGGCATTAAATTGGCTTGATGACTATAATAATACTGCTATTTATGCTTTATTCTACTTTTCTAGTCATTATTTGTTTTAAATAGCAGATTACTCATTTTTGGCTCACAATATATCCAATTCTTAATTACCATGTGACTTTTCAGTTTCTGATTTTAAAAACCAAAATAACGTATTTTTTGAAAATTAAAATTTATTAGCTGCAAAAACATCTAAATAATGAAAAGCAGATACCATATTTCACTGAATCCAATATGCCGTTTATGTAATTTAACTATGAAACACTAAGAAAAAAAACTAGTATCACATTATTTACTTCTGCATACATAGCAAAGAAATATAAGCAAAATGAATTGGCTAATATATTCCTTTTAGACATACAGAAGAATCTTCTCAATCCCATTTCACTCAGTCATCAGGGCGTATGTTTTCCACATGGTACACTCCTACATGCCACTATGAACTCCACAGATAAAAGAATTTCTTAAAATTCTATTAAACTCCACTAATGTCTCCCAAATTTCTTTTGCAAGTCACTGACACTTTTAAGTTAAGTGCATGTATTAATGCTGACACACTCTGGATCTTGAGAAAATGGTATCAAAGGTTTTCTGACAACAGCTAGGATTCATGAACTGTTCTCCAAATGTTCTTAAAATATTTGTTGGTTGAAAACAGAGGGAATGCAGCTAACCAGTCATGACAGAAAGAACATCAAGGCTGTACAAGCACAGGCAATGACAGTGTATTATAGCTGCTGCTAGTCATCAACAATTACAAAGCAACTCTG